GGTTATAAAAGCACTGAATTTTTCAACATAACTTGTTCATTCTTTTTTTTATCTTAACACACTTTTTACCTTGACAATCTCCCCACAGATGAAGAAGAGACTTGAAGCAACAAAAATGTGGTTCTACAGAAGAATGCTGAGGATACCATGAAATCTAACATGTGAGCAACGGCGAAATTTTATAGCAAAAGGAAGCAAAAAGACACATATAATTAACATCAGGAAGAGACAGCTGAAATTTCTAGGGCACATAATGAGGAAAGAGGGCTTGAAAAATCTAATACTCACAGGACAGATTGAAGGCAAGAGGGACAGAGAAAACTAATGCATAATCTACCTGGCGGGCATGAGTAAATGGATGGCGAAATAAGGTTTAGAAGAGATAACAAAAAAAAATTAAGAACTACAAATCATAGGAAATTGTGGAGAGTCGTGCTCACCAACGTCCTTATGGCACAAAGAAAACGAAGCTATTATGAACAAGACACCCCAGTCGCCATTTTCGTCATCCTTCTACTCTTCTCCCTTCTACTTTTCGTATTGGTCTTCTTCGTCCCTCTTCTCCTCCTCTTCCTCCTTCTCCCTACCGTAGTCGCACTCTTCATCATCTTTCTTCTCTTCCTCCTCCTCGTAGTCGTCTTCCTTCTTTTTCTATTCAATCTCGACTTCATCTTTCTCTTCTCCTTTCTCCTTCTATAATTCGTCCTCCTCATACCCATCTCCCCCTCCTTCCTCTCCTCCTCCTTATCGTAGTCGTTCTCTTCATCGTCATTCTTCTCTTCCTCCCAATCGCAATCGTCTCGTTCTCTTCCCTTCTCGTATTCGTCCTCTTCATCCTTCCCATTTCCCTTCTCCTTTTCCTAGTCCAACTCCCCTTCTTCCTTATCTTCTCCCTTCACCAGTTCTTATTCGTCCTCTTCGTGTTTCTTCTCCTCCCACTTCTACTTTTCGTTGTCGACCTCCTCGTTATTCTTTCCTTTCTCGTATTCGTACTCTTCGTCTTTTTCACCTCTTCTCGTATTCGACTTCTACGTCCTTGTCCCCCTTCTTCTTTTCGTATTTGTCCTCTTTTTCTTCCTTCTCCTCTCACTCTTCACATAGTCATCCTTCTCCCCCACTTCCTTCTCGTATTCGAGCCCCTCGTCATCCTTTTCATTCCCTTTATGCTTTTGGTAGACGATCTACACGTCAAACATCTCCTCCTCAGACTTTTCCTCTTCGTCTTCCTTCTTCTCCCTCTTCGTCTTCCTTCTCCTCTCCTCCTCTTTTTCCGTATTCGATCTCCTCTACATACTTCTAATACTACTACTACTGCTACTACTACTCCTACTACTTGTATTCGTCCATTTTATCCTTCTCCTCCACTTCTCCTTTTCGCATTTGACCTCCTCTACTTCCTTATCCTCCTCCTTGTAGTCGTACTCTTGGCCTACCTTCTACTCCTCTTTCTCTTCTTCGTCTTTCTTCTCCTTTACGTATTCGACCTCTTCGTCTCCGTTTTCATTCTCCTTCTCACCGTCGTCCTCCTCCTGCCCACTCTATTTCTCAAAACACTAAAATTTATCAAAGTTCTTATTTTTGTTATCGTATTTTGTTTTTGCTTCTTGTTTGTCTGTTGTTTTTTATTATTATTATTTGCAATCTGGAACTTTTCGCCGCCTTGGAAATCAAGATGGCTTCTGTCATGTGGTATCATTCGGTTTTCTTGCAAAATCCGGCGATGACCTCACGGCCTCTCCTCTTGCCAATTGGATACAGGTTTTTAAGAGTGTATTGGTGGGATGTTTTTTCACTTACTCGTTTATTTTTTTTTTTGCTTTTTTACTTTTTTTTTTTAATGTTTCCGTTTTTCTTTCTTTCTATATAAGTATATATATATTTGTTCTGCACGCATTCCACCATCTTCCTTTTGATGTGCACATTTGCCTGCTTCAGACGACTTCGTCTATGTTTTCCTGCGTATCGGCTGAGAAACTAAGGGAGATAACCTGCAGTGTAACCTTCAAAATCATTATTTGTTTTATTTTTTCTTCTTGTTTCTTTCATACATACGCGTTTATTGATTCGTCCGTTAGCATTTTATTTTATTCCATTTACTTACTGTCTTCGTGCACAATGTTTCTGGACAATATTTCTTATATATCTATCGCTCTATCTATTTAAGCCTTTTCCTGCCTTCTGAATCTCTCTCTCTCTCTCTATATATATATATATATATATATATATATATATATATATATAAAGATATGTCTGAATGAATAAATTACAAGTATCATGTCTGCTCATTTTTATCATAATCCTTTCACATTCACGAATATTTTGCCTATATTATAATTGAATAAGGCAAGAAATGCACTGTAACAGTGAGAATCACTTTTATTTTCCAAGTACTTTGCATCTCTTTCTGAGATCATCATCAGGGGTGCAACTGATAAGTCAAAAACAATGTGTAGCAATCCATTACTGAATTCGTGAATATGAAAGGATTATGATAGTAATAAGCAGACATAAGGTTTATAATTCATTCAATCAGACATGCTTAAAAGAGAATTTGCTGCCTAAAAACACAAATATAAAGATATATAGATCTACCTCCTTCTCTCTCTCTCTCTCACTTTATATATATATATATATATATATATATATATATTGTTGTAACCTAGGGAAGGTTACTAAATAGAATAATCAAATGAACGATAATACTTAGGGCAAGAACAACACATATAAGAAGCAGCGCGTAGAAGTAGTATTTATGTGAATGGGAACATACCCATTATCGTTCATAGATATGCTACAACACACACACACACACACACACACACACACACACACACACACATATATATATATATATATATATATATATATATATAGTGGATGTAATGGATTCGACTGGAATTCGAACTTACGTGCTAATTCCCTTGGGAAAGGTTTGAATCCTCTTCTTCTCCCTCCAGCTATGGGTAAATAGCAGGCCAGACTGGGTTCTATAGCCTTGGATGGCAACTGGTCTAGGAGAAGGACAACTCTGAATTCAAAACCTGCGGAGGGTCGTTTGGGGACCTTGTGGCATTTAGTGCACCAGGTCTCTGCATTCGGCCCTTCAAAAAGTGTGGATGGTCCTGCACGAAACTTTCACCACTATAATCAAATCTCATCTGCTGTTGTCTGGCTGTCAGTTTCCTGGGAACTGATCTGCTTGACACTCATATGTCGAATTCGACGGGAGAGTCGAGTATACATATATATTCGTATCTATCTCTATTTCTATGTATCTACCTACCTATCTACTTAGTACGTTTCTATCTATCTCATTCTGTTTGTATCTATCTATTTTGTTCATTTCTATATATCTATCCATTCATATCTGTCTATCTATGTTCATAACTATCTGTCTCTGTTCGTAGCTTTCTTTCTGTCTATCTATTTTCATATTTATCTATATACTTTCACGTTTATCTCTATTCATATCTATCTGTCTACAGGGTGCGACGGATAAATTGTCGTCTAAATTATGCAAAAATAAAAATATTATATTTACCAACATTACAGAAAAATATCTTGAAATACTAATAAGTAAATCTATTCAATATAATCGCCATTGGCTTCAACCACGGCCTCCAGACGACTTCGGAATCTTCCTGCAACTCTTCTGAACGGTCTCCTTATCTAAGTTGGTGAATGCTGGCATAATTCTTGCCTTCAGTTTGTCTTTGCTGTTACAATGAGTTTTGTCGGTCTCTCGCTCAACTGCACCCCACACATAATAATCAAGGGGGTTGCAGCCTGGGGAGTTAGTTGGCCAGATTTAAGGGATGATGTGGTCGCAGAAAGTCACCGACAACCATGACTGGGTTCTCCTGCTTGTGTGACATGGTGCAGATTCTTAGACATAGGGTCTTCCAGCAAGCACCCTCTAGATCCAAAGCAGCACTACCTCCTCAAAGCAGTTTATGTAGGCCTCCATGTAGAGTCTGAAGCAATGTGGGAAGATGAACGGAAGCATAACGTCGCTATCATTAGTAATCACTCCAAACACCTTCGTAATCGCCACTAGACTCATCCAACTCTTTTCAAATCCTCTGAACTGTCCTCAGATTGACACGCAAACACTCTGAAATGTTCGTATTGAAGCTCCCGGCGGGAATGTCAAGTAGTTCAGCATGCCGTTTCCGAATTTCTGGTGGAGGGTTTTGCGTGATAGTCCTCTTTTTCTTACACACAGTGCCCAACTATTCCTACTATGCTGTGCGGTCAATAAAATAAAATAAAAAACGACGCGCATGCGCGAAATTAAGAATATAAAATGACGACAATTTACCCATCGTATTCTGTGCCTATTTATCTATCTCAGTCTTTTCAAATCTATCTACCTTCACGGTCTATTCATATCTGTCTTTATATCTATCTCTGCTCATATCCATCCCTCTCAGTCTGTTAATCGCTATATATTTGCATTCTACTTATCTAACGATCTCAATTTGCACATCTTTTTGGAGTCTAGAACATAATTATGGGATTTGGAAATAATTCAATTGATTTATCGGATCTCTGGTCCTGAAGAGCGGTGTTACGAGAAACTTTGTTCACATCTTTCTATCTGTCTATCTGATTCCCTTTATATCTATCTATCTATCTATCTATCTATCTATCTATCTATCTATCTATCTATCTAATTCCCTTCATATCTCTCTCTATCTCCTTCTGTCCATATCTATCTATCTATCTATCTATCTATCTATCTATCTATCTATCTATCTATCTACCCTGTTCATTTTTATGTATCTATCTATCTGAGTCTCATGATATCTGTCTATCTGATTCCATTCATATCTATCTATCTATCTATCTATCTATCTATCTATCTATCTATCTATCTATCTATCTATCTGTCTATCTAATTCCCTTCATATCTCTCTCTATCTCCTTCTGTCCATATCTATCTATCTATCTATCTATCTATCTATCTATCTATCTATCTATCTACCCTGTTCATTTTTATGTATCTATCTCAGTCTCATGATATCTGTCTATCTGATTCCATTCATATCTATCTATCTATCTATCTATCTATCTATCTATCTATCTATCTATCTATCTATCCTGTCAATTTTTATCTATCTATCCATCCCAGTCTCATCATATCTATCTATCTATCTATCTATCTATCTATCTATCTGTCTATCTATCTATCCTGTCAATTTTTATCTATCTATCCATCCCAGTCTCATCATATCTATCTATCTATCTATCTATCTATCTATCTATCTATCTATCTATCTATCTCAGACCAGCAAGGTTCTAGTTACCTCTTTAAAGAATGTGAATTACTTCGTTCAGGTTTTCTCGAAAGCCCACAGTTAGTTTCGTAACAGAAACGTAAACAAACCAATCACTAAAGATTCAATGTAATTATTTTTAATTCGATATTCTTATTACTTGAAATATTATTTTTTAGTAGTAATTCGTGTTTGAAATAAACGCCTTGTGGTTGATTTTAAACGGTGCATTTTACATATATCGACTTGCGCATTCGAAAAAAATAATTAGAAAAATATGCATTCCTGAAAAGGTTAAATAGTAGCTGGCATTTCTGTAACGCTAGCTGTCGTCGAGCAGTCTAAAGTTCATCCCATCAAATGGTGGTTTCTCATTCAAAGCGGTACGCTGGTTCGGACCGAGTAGGACAGTACACTTACTCAATATCTATCTATCTATCTATCTATCTATATCTATCTATCTATCTATCTATTATCTCAGACTGTTCATATCTATTTATGAAACTATCTATCTATCTATCTCTTTCTCTCTCTCTCTCTCTCTCTCTCTCTCTATATATATATATATATATATATATATATATATATATATATATATATCAGTTGTTCATATCTATCTATCTCAGACTGTTCATCTATCTTTCTATCTGTCTATCTCAGACTGCTCATTCTATCTATCTATCTATCTATCTATCTATCTATCTATCTTATGCCAGTCTTTTTATTTATTTTTCTACTTTCTGTCTGTTTGTTCTTTTGTTGTTTTTTTTTTGTTTATCTGTTGTTCATCCGTCAATCCATTTTTTATGGGTTGTCATCAGAGTGCAGTGTTTATCAAGACGTATTTGCAAGTGATCATTATTTTGAATCCTATACGTTGTCCATAATTTTTTTTTTTCGTACTCAAGCCTAAAAACTACTGGAGTAGATATTTAGAGCACCTACCGTGGAGAAGCAGTTTCTCGCCATTGAATATTGAATTAGCCTCATGTATGAATGCACAACTGGCAAAACATCAGAAGTTTCTTTTTAATTCCCTTGGTCGAGTTAGGACCAAGAACTTTTCAGCAGGCCCTCGCAAAGGCACATCCCCCCCACACACACACATTCTAAGGAACCTATCATACCTATCTATCTCATTCTGTCCTTATATCTATCATTCTATTCGTATACATATATCTATCTATCTATCTATCTATCTATCTATCTATCTATCTATCCTGTCAATTTTTATCTATCTATCCATCCCAGTCTCTTTATATCTATCTATCTAGCTAAATAGCTAGCTAGCTAATTTGGTTTGTATCTATCTACGTTTCTTTCTATCTCATTCTTTTCATACCTATCTATCTGTCCTTATATCTATCATTCTATTCGTATACATATATCTATCTATCTATCTATCTATCTATCTATCTATCTATCTATCTCATTCTGTTCATATCTATTTTTTCTATCTCATTCTATTCATATCTATCTATCTATCTATCTATCTATCTATCTATCTATCTATCTATCTATCTATCTATCTATCTGTTTATCTAACCTTTTATCCATCTATCTCATTCTGTTTATATCTATTTTCTTTCTTTCTATTTTATCTGTTCAAATCTATCTATCTATTTTATTTTGTTAATATCTGTTTTCTTTCTTTCTATCTCATTCTGTTCATATCTATATATCTATCTCATTCTGTTAATATCTATCTATTTTCTTTCTTTCTATCTCATTCTGTTCATATCTATCTATCTATCTATCTATCTATCTATCTATCTATTGTCTGTTCATATCCATCTGTCTGTGTTATATGCCATACATACGAACACTGATGGGTATGTCTAAATCCTCATAAATGCGTTGGACACTATTGTAAGTAGGGGTAATGATGTCCAAGTTGTCAACTACTAGCTGTGGTTTACCTACTTCACGCCGCTGGCGAGTATTGTATTTTGTTGATGTGATAATGATTTCCATTGCATTTCCAACCTCCGTTTTGGTTATTCAACATTCAGTAACCTTTTCTAGATTAAAACAGATAGTAAGGGACAAAAAATGCTTTAAGTTGAAAAAGATAGGAAGTTGTGAAGAGCCATGATCATCCACGTCCAAAAAGGACACGGCACATAAAAAGATATATTTTCATGCATACGTTTTGTTTAATTACATTTATAACAGTTTTTTTTTATTCTAAAAGTCTTTCCTCGATTAATGGTAGATTATTTTTATTTCCACAGTATGTTTTCTTTTTTATTTAATGTGGTTCAAGCTCACTTGTTAGTAAGATTATGTTGCGTCAGACTTTCCAATGGGTAGAGCTTCCGTGCCTTAAAAATCAAAATTTGAAGATACTACGTCATATGCGACAGGGTTATAGATGTATGTTGAGGTAATATCATGGTTAGCGGTTCGAAACAAGAAACTGGCGAGCCGAGTTCGAATTTCGAACGAGTTCCGTACACTGAATTTTTTAGAAGAACATTTGGGTAAAGATACTGACCTATCCAGCTATGGATTAAATAGCGGGGTAAACAGGACTCTCGTGTCGTAGTTGGCAACCAGTCTAGGAGAAGAAAAAAATTGAATTCAAAATCCTGTTATACAAAAAATGGTTAGATATGTGATGCTCTGTAAAAAAAAAAAAAAAAAAAAAAGATTTTCCCAACTATGGCTGATCCGATTGGTTACGGCAATAAGCTGATATAATATCTTCCTGCTCCACTCTCTAATAAAATATGTGTTTGTCAACATGACAGTGACCCTTGGTACACATCACGTGCAACAGAAAGGTTTCTTGTGAATGGGGATGTTCAAAACTATTGGTTAAACTCGCCAGCTGATCTTAATATAATTGAACTACAGTGTGACCCTGCCTATTCGCGTTTCAGCATTCACGGCTTCACATTTGCCGATTTTTCTTTAGAACATGTGTACTTGTTATTCGCGGAAATCCTTAATATTGGTGTGTTTTTCTGAAGAACATATGTACAAATTATTCGCTAAGAACTCCCTCTATTCGTGTATTTTTTTTTCGATAGAACATATTTAAAATATTCTTGTATTATTTTCCTTTTATTTAAGTGACTTGAAACATATAACAGTCCATTTTTTTTTTTTTTTTTTTTTTGTTAAAAATTGACAGAATTGTAAAAAACAAATTCAAAAACGTGCGTAGTGCTTGGGATTTGTACTTTGTTAGAAGCTACGGCTGGGGTCTTAAAATTGGATTATGCTAAGTCTGGGGGGGGGGCATCATCACAGTTCTGTTTTTATAAAATATGTTAAAACTTTATATTTTATGTCTTGTTACATATATTTTACACAGTATTTTCAACAGTTGTATCGATCTATGCGTAGTTAAAAGCGGTTATTGTACGTATGAAAGAAAATTTACGCTAAGTGCATGGTCATCAATACTATTTTACAAAAATGTTTTTAAAATGATCTGAAATGTTTCTGAAGTATTTAGGGTGAAAGTTTAAGGCATATGTGGTTTTAACAATCGAAATAGTTACTTATAAGCCCCTTTAGTGGGTTACAAGTATTCGTCGATTCTAACTATTCACAGCCGGTTCTGGTCCCTAATCCCCGAGAATTCGGGGTACTCACTGTATTGTGGAGGGAAATGAAGAAAAAAGTGCTCCAATGAAAATCGCACAATTTCCATTTGTCTTTTATGCATCTTTTTGATGAGTATGTCTTGTATCCTGTTCTTTTATTTTTAATAATTTTTTGTCCTTTTAGTTCTTGTTTATCTTTTATCCAGATCTGCTTCATCTGCGAAATTAATTTTTTTCTTTTCTGCACATTTCTCGTTGAGACATTCCCTTTGAACTTTACGATAAATGTATGGTCACCAATACTATAGCAGCAACTTTTATTGAAAATGGAGAAAATTTGGCATCGTGTTATCATCATGAAGTACCTGTATGAAAAGGTTTTAGCTACAGTCGGAGATGGCGCCCCAGCTTTATCATCTGTGCAAAAGAGGGCAGCTGAATTTAGCAGAAGGAAGGGCGACGCTTGAAGATGATCCAAGGTCTGAACGTCCAGCAAATGCCACCGCCGTTGAAGACTTTTCTGAGCAACAAAATGAGCTGTCTTCTTTGAGTTTACTTGGGAAGAAACAAAGCATTTCTTAATAAGAAGAGTTGAAATTAATGCATGACCGATTTCACAGCTCTAGCATCACTCCCCCATAGTCAGTCTATGAACCTTTCTGTCCAATCTCGTATATTTTTCAAATTTACAACTATAATTTCTTTTTATCGGTAATCTTGATAAATGTCCACCGAGCGATTTTAACCTCTTTACAGCTCATAATATTCTACTTCATCAGAGTGAGGGCAATAAAAGAAGGAAATACTAACACACAGACAGACCTTTGAATGCGCAACCGTCCCAGATTTTATTTGTGTGGTCCTCAAGAGAGAGCGTCTTTCCAAAAGTCTTGCTGCCTGATGCTGTTTCTGCGTTGGCTCGATAGGGGTCGCTGCAGTGGCCTGCATATTTAATGTCTCTAAATTATCCGCAACTTCTTCATAATAAATTTTTTTTTTTACTTCCAACTTATTTATTTATTTGTGGTCTTGACATATTTTTATTTTTTCAAATAAAACCCAGCATTAGCGACGAGGTGTGATAAGAGGGGTGGAAGGTGCAGCGGACGTTGCGCGAATAGCGAAGATGGCGCCACACTGTCGATATTATTCGCTGCTGTCACGAGATAGGGTTGGTGCATATCAGTGCATTGTTGGCAAGATGCAGAAAACTGCAAAGAGCTCGGGGAAAGGAGAAAGATAAAAACGAAAAGAGAAAACGAGGAAAGAATTAAGAAAGAAAAAATTGATAGAAAGAATGAAGATTGTATGAGAAAGAAAAAAGAAAGAAAGAAAGAAAGAAAGAAAGAAAGAAAGAAAGAAAATGTATATGAGTGTATACAAGAAAAAGCGGTTGCGTAAATAGAAAAGAGAGAGAGAGAGAGAAAAAAAAAACAGAAAAAGAAAGCGAGAAAAGAAATAGGGGAAGAAGAAATTAATAGAAATAATCAAAATAATGGCGGAAAGTAAAGCTGAAAGAAAGAAAGAAAGAAAGAAAGAAAGAAAGAAAGAAAGAAAGAAAGAAAGAATGGGGCAGGCAAAAGAAAAGGAGAAGAAAGCATATGGTGCAGGAAAAACAAGGGAAAGAGAGACACTTGTGAAAGAAAGAAAGAAAGAAAGAAAGAAAGAAAGAAAGAAAGAAAGAAAGAAAGAAAAAAATGGGGCTGGCAAAAGAAAAGGAGAAGAAAGCATAAGGTGCAGGAAAAACAAGAGAAAGAGAGGCACTTGTGAAAGAAAGAAAGAAAGAAAGAAAGAAAGAAAGAAAGAAAGAAAGAAAGAAAGAAAAAATGGGGCTGGCAAAAGAAAAGGAGAAGAAAGCATATGGTGCAGGAAAAACAAGAGAAAGAGATGCACTTGTGAAAGAAAGAAAGAAAGAAAGAAAGAAAGAAAGAAAGAAAGAAAGAAAGAAAGAAAAAATGGGGCTAACAAAAGAAAAGGAGAAGTAAGCATATGGTGCAGGAAAAACAAGGGAAAGAGAGGCACTTGTGAAAGAAAGAAAGAAAGAAAGAAAGAAAGAAAGAAAGAAAGAAAGAAAAAAGAAAGAATGGGGCTGGCAAAAGAAAAGGAGAAGAAAACATATGGTGCAGGAAAAACAAGAGAAAGAGATGCACTTGTGAAAGAAAGAAAGAAAGAAAGAAAGAAAGAAAGAAAGAAAAAAAGAAAGAAAGAAAGAAAGAAAGAAAGAATGGGGCAGGCAAAAGAAAGGGAGAAGAAAGCATATGGTGCAGGAAAAACAAGAGAAGGAGAGGCACTTGAAAGAAAGAAAGAAAGAAAGAAAGAAAGAAAGAAAGAAAGAAAGAAAGAAAGAAAGAAAAAAAATGGGGCTGGCAAAAGAAAAGGAGAAGAAAGCATATGGTGCAGGAAAAACAAGAGAAAGAGATGCACTTGAAAGAAAAGAAAGAAAGAAAGAAAAGAAAAAAGAAAGAAAAGAAAGAAAAAAGAAAGAAAAATGGGGCTGGCAAAAGAAAAGGAGAAGTAAGCATATGGTGCAGGAAAACAAGGGAAAGAGAGGCCTTGTGAAAGAAAGAAAGAAAGAAAGAAAGAAAAGAAAGAAAGAAAGAAAGAAAGAAAGAATGGGGCAGGCAAAAAGAAAAATTGAAGAAAGCATATGGTGCAGGAAAAACAAGAGAAAGAGAGGCACTTGTGAAAGAAAGAAAGAAAGAAAGAAAGAAAGAAAGAAAGAAAGAAAGAAAGAATGGGGCAGGCAAAAGAAAGGGAGAAGAAAGCATATGGTGCAGGAAAAACAAGAGAAAGAGAGGCACTTGTGAAAGAAAGAAAGAAAGAAAGAAAGAAAGAAAGAAAGAAAGAAAGAAAGAAAGAATGGGGCAGGCAAAAGAAAGGGAGAAGAAAGCATATGGTGCAGGAAAAACAAGAGAAAGAAAGAAAGAAAGAAAGAAAGAAAGAAAGAAAGAAAGAAAAAAGAAAGAATGGGGCAGGCAAAAGAAAGGGAGAAAAAAGCATATAGTGCAGGAAAAACAAGAGAAAGATAGGCACTTGTGAAAGAAAGAAAGAAAGAAAGAAAGAAAGAAAGAAAGAAAGAAAGAAAGAAAGAGATTTGTATGAATGTATACAAGCAAGGGAAAAAGTAAGATTTGGGAATATAAAACAGAAAGATAAAAAAGAAATGAGAGAGCGACTGAGATAGATAGATAGATAGATAGATAGATAGATAGATAGATAAATAGATATGAAGAAACTAAAACAGATAGATATATAGATACATAGATATATATGAAGAGACTAAAATAGATAGATATGAACTGTCTAACTGATTCCTTTTTTTACGACAACTACCATTTGCAGGTTATTTAAAGCCAGAAAATATTTTCAGATTGTACGAATGTTTTGGCGATATTAATGTTTAACATATACAAGACATACTAATGAACCCATAGCTGGGGAAGAAGAGGCGGATTTTTGCTTTTCCCAAGGGTATTTTCGTGTAATTGAATATAACGAATGTCTCGAAAAGGACTTCCAATCGGTTGTGAACTGGGGCAGAAATTGGCTGGTCAACTTTAATGCCTCAAAAACAAAACTGCTCTCTATTAATCACCACAGAGATCCTTCCCTGCCCACCCCCATTAGAATGTCTGACGCTCAACTTCTCGAGAGCACCTCTTTGCGGCTCTTCGGTCTCACGTTGACTGCTGACCTGAGATGGAACAAATACATTGAGTCAATTGCTATAATCTCCAACTATTCAAATGTAATGTCAATCGACATCTCCAGTTGCCTTGATCTATCCACTATCCTTCTCCTCATCCTTTCCTCTATCATTCCTATCTGATTTTGCTCTGTAACCCCTTGCGTTCTAGTGTCTTCTCGCCTTGCTTGGGGTGAAACGCTTAAAAAAAAAAAAAAAAACTCCAACTGAAACTGGGCTCTCCGATTTCTAATTCCGAGCTGTTATCCATTACACCATCGGTGCATCCAAGAAAAGAAATAAAGGAGAAAGAAATTGATAGAAAGAAAGAAAGAAAGAAAGAAAGAAAGAAAGAAAGAAATTTCTGTGAATGTATCTGAGGAAGGAAGGAAGGGAGGAAGGGAGGAAGGAAGGACGACGCATGCGTAAATAGATATAGGAGAAAAAAGAGATTGATAAAGAACGAGGAAGAAAGTTGGGTGGAAATGCCAAAAGAAGAAAGAAAGAAATTTGTGTGAATGTATATAAGCAAGGAAGGAAAGAATACAGGAAAAGAAAGAGAAAAAATGCTTCATAATGACATATAAGAACAAACGAAGGAAGACAAGAAAGAAAGAAAGAAAGAAAGAAAGAAAGAAGCTTAGGAATGAAGTCCCCATTAATACTGGAAAAAAACTGTTTTAAGAGAAAGATTATGAAAATTTCAAACTACCGTAGAAATGGCAGTTCGGTCAATGAATACCGAATCTTTCCTTATAAGGAAACTGTTAATATTACCATTAGTTATGAGGAGAACAGATACTACATTTTAACTATAGCACGATAACCAGAAAATTAAGGAAAGCATATCTCTAGTAGAACTAGCTGTTCTGTCAATGAAAGCCGAATATTTCCTTATAGGGAAACAGTTAACATTACCAATACCATTACCAAGATCAACGTCTTCACCAAATATGTTCTCTTCATTCTATAACTTTAGAGCTCTTTTTCATAACATTTTTTTGTCACTGATTTCGACAATTTTATGATATGGAAAATTATTTTTTGAATGAATATACAGTTTAGTGGAAAGAGTGTACAACGCCATAAAAAGCCAAGAAAAATAACCTGATGGCTGAATAATGATGCTATGAATTTGTGCAAATAAAATGTTTTGTCAAAATAGAAATGCTGGTAACTTTTGAATTAAACTAATGGGTGTCTGTTCTTATATTTGAAAAATTTATACGCATTGTTGCCGACAGAAGCAAAGTAAAATTTATAGGCTTTCTAATATGACGAATTGTTTTCCGCACTGGGTCGTGTCAGTGGGATGTTCTTCACCTTGACTGATTATTCCTTGGATGTCGGGTAGACAAGGGTGAAGAGTTAAGGGCGTAAATTCACCTGCTGAGAGCTGATCTACCGAGAAAGATTTTCTTACAACAAAATGGAGATAGATAGATAGATAGATAGATAGATAGATAGATAGATAGATAGATAGATAGATAGAAATAGACTGAGTTAGATATGAACAAACTGAGATAGAGAGAACAATAGATAAATAGATAGATAGATATGAAGAGACTGAGATAGATAGATAGATAGATAGATAGATAGATAGATAGATGACTGGGATAGATAGATAGATAGATAGATAGATAGATAGATAGATAGATAGATAGATAGATAGATATTAACAGACTGAGTTAGATAGATATGAACAAACTGAAATAGAGAGAACGATACATAAATATATAGATAGATATGAAGCGACTAAGATAGATAGATAGATAGATAGATACAAAAAGAATGAGATAGATATGAAGAGAATGAGATAAACAAATATGAAGAGACTGAAATAGATAGATATGAACAGTCTGATAGATTTTTTACGGCTTATCAACATTTTGCAGGTTATTTAAAGTCAGGAAATATTTTTAGATTATACGAATGTTTTGGAGATAGTAATGTCTAACATATACAAGGCCTACTAATTAACCCATAGCTGGGGAGAGAAGAGGCGGATTCATACGTTCCTCAAGAGCATTTTCGTGTAATTCAATATAACGAACCCCGAATGAAGTTAGAACTCAGCTCACCGATTTCCAATTCCGAACCGTTATCCATTACACCACCCGTGCATCCAAGCTTACAGCACATGGTATTCCCAAGCTGTCACCCATCTAGGTACTGACTAGGTTCGACGTTGCTTAACTTTGGTGATCGTACGAGAATCGGGGATTGAATATGTGTCCGTAAAAACGTCTGGCGTAGAGTAAAACTTCTCAATTTATCGTTCCGTATTTTGTGCTGTCGGTGCATATACAACAATGATGTATATGTTGAATGGACTCAGATAAATAACTAGGAACCTAGATTATGATGAAGAGACTAGGACTGGTAAGTATGTACATAAGGAGCTTAGGTAGATGAACATTGAATAGACCGGGATACATAGGTAGACCAATCAATCAATATACGTTAGACAACGCTATAGCTGAGTGCACATCACAAGAAATTACAATCGGCATGGGAGACATGACTGCCAAAGTAGGCAAGGAAATAGGTGCTAAAATTTAAGACAAGGAACTCGTAATGAATACGGAGAAAAATGAATCCAATGGCCTACGGCAAAAATGATCAAGTGTGCAAATTAACTGAAACAACTCACTGGAGTGACAGGGTGTAATCGATTTCTATTTTTTCCTCAAATTAGGTCATTTGTAGTGGTGTGCAGCAATATTAATCTATTTTCTGTGTGTATAATGAAATTTATTTGGCCTTGAAAAATATTGCGTCATCCGTGATTGCATCAGATTTTTATCACGCCCAGATACTATTGTCTCGACTGTCGATTAGTTGTCCTACGGCCATTGTCTGCGATGGATGTTACTCCAGGGAAGCGTAAAAGAATTGTAACGCTGCACAAACACACTGGCAAGCCTTACCAGAGAGCAAATCAAAGTACTATAGACTGACCTGGAATCTCTCCTCACTTAAATCCAATCGAGAATCTGTGGTCAAACTGCAAGGAACGACTTCTTGGAATGGATATACGAAGTACTAATATGTGCAGTGGGTCATGTTTAATTGGAAAAATACGAAAAAAAAAATAACGGAATTATTCGTTTTATGTCAATTAATTTTCACAAGGGTATATATATATATATATATATATATATATATATTATGAGTTATTTTGGAATATTGTCCAGCAGGGATTTTAAAATCGATCCAATGGCGCGCGGCAAATGATCACGTATTAGCTACCATCTGGTTTCAAGGACACCCAGAATGTATATAGACATGGAGAAGCCCAGGAGGATAACCGAAAAAGATTCAGTGCCCCCTGTAGGGGTGACCACATTCAAGTCATATGTAACGTTAGAGTGAAACTACGGAAATAGAAGAGGGACAGGGCAGCAGCTAAATTGCACTACGACAGACTTCTTAATGACACATTACATTTTAACGGAGAAATATATGGACAGATTTAAATGCAGTTAGGATGGACAAAATGAGACTGGAAACTCGAAGTGGGATGCAATAAGAGAGGCTTTAGTAATTTCAGCAATCGAGATCATCCTATAGAAAAATAGACCGAAACAAAACAAAAAATAAGATGACAGATGAAATTCTTGACAAGATGAAGAAGAAACAAAGACAATGCCAAGATACGGCATAGAATATAGAACTCTGGACAAAGAGGAATGTCTCTGCGAGAAATGTGCAGAAAAGAAAGATTTAGTATCACAGATAAAGCAGATAAAAGAAAAAAAGAACTAACAGTACAAAAATTATTAAAAAAAATAAAAGAACAGAATAAAAGATGTACTCGTCGAAAAGATCCATAAAATGCAAATGGAGATTGTGCGGTTTTCATTCGAGCACTTATTTCTTCATCTCACACAATACAGTGAGTCGGTCGTATTTGTGGGGGTTAGGGACCAGAACCGCCCGCGATTAGTTACAATTCTCGAATACTTGTAACCCCACTAAAAGGGCTTATAAGTAACTATTTTGATTGCTAAAACCCCATATGCCTTAATCTTTCATCCTAAACACTTTAGAAACATTTCAGACCCTTTTTAAAACATTTTTGAAAAATAGTATTAGTGACTATACACTTAGCGTAAATTTTCTTTCATACGTACAATAACCGTTTTAATTACGCATAGATCGATACAACCATCGAAAATACTGTATAAAATCTATGGAACAAGATATAAAATATAAAGTTTTAACACATTTTCTAAAAACAGAACTATGATGATGCCTCCAGACTTAGCATAATCCAATTTTAATACCCCAGCCGCAGCCCCTAACAGAGAACAAACAATTACGCATGTTTTTGCGTTTGTTTTTACAATGGAGATGCAAAATTCTGCCAATTTTTACCATAGAAATGGACTGTTATATGTTTTACGTCACTTAAATAACAGGAAAATAATACAAGAATATTTTAAATGTGTTCTATCGAAAAAAACTACGCGAATCGAGAGAGGTCTTAGCGAATAATTTGTTCATATGTTCTTCAGAAAAACACACCAATATTAGGGTTTTCCGAGAATAACAAGTACATACAGTTCTGTTCGATAAAAGTGACTCACCTGACTTTTTTTACTAAAAATATTTTTTGTCTATTGTTTTGGGGGTTAAAATAATTTTTAATCTTTCTAATATAAAGACCCCTTCCCGACCACCTAGGAAAAAATTTTATTCATCCTAAGGTATTCTATTGATAATTATAAATTTGGATATAAATGAGATTCAGGAAAAAACTCTGTGCAAAAAAAATGACTCAGATATCGCATTCTAATGATTAAACTGGTAAATTTAAAGAGCTTTTGACAAAATATTGAAAACTATTTTACAATACACTCAGAACAATATTCTAGAGAATTCTAAAACAGCTTAAATTAAATTCCAGAAAGCCTCATACAGTATCAAAACAGCTTGAAATAGCCACTCAGAACCACTTAAGGCATCTCTTACTGCCCTCTCAAAAGCAGGCAAGTCTACGAGAGAAATTGCAGAAATTGCTATAACCTCGAAATCAACTGTCTCTCGAGTGTTTAGGACACATAATGATGCCACTCCTGCTCCAAAGAAGGAAAGGAGGGGACGAAAGAAAAAGATTGATGATAGAACTGGCAGAGTAATCAAGAGAGAAGTTGAGAAGAATAGGACTATAACTAGCCAAGAAATTGCAGCCAGTCTAAGCGAAGAGCAAGGTGTTAGTCTTGCCTCTTCAACAGTCAGTCGGTGGCTGTTAGAACAAGGCTACAAATCTTGTACACGAAGGTTTAAGCCGCTAATAAGCAAAGCCAGCAAAGCCAACAAAGCCAAGAGACTTGAATAGGCTCACTATTACAAAAAATTCACCGTAGAAGACTGGAAGAATGTTCTTTTCTCCGATGAAACGAAAGTTGAGCTAAATTCAAAGGATAAGCAATCTAAAATCCGAAGAAGAAGCTTTAAAAGCTCTTTGAATTTAGCAGTAAGTACTGTCAAGCATCGGTTCAGTATAATGTTCTGGGGATGCTTTTCTTTTCATGGAACTGGTTTCTTAAAACCTATTGAAAAGACCCTCAGAAGTGAGCAGTACAAGAGAATTTTAGTGTCTTGTCTGCTCCCTTCTGCTGAAAGGGTGCAAATCGCCCCCACGAAGCTCATTTTTATGCAGGATAATGCTCCCAGTCACAAATCAAAATTGATGAAGGAATACTTTGATGAGAAGCAGGTGAGTGTTATGACATGGCCACCCCAATCTCCTGACCTCAACCCCATAGAAAACTTATGGAACATTATAAAGTATAGGCTCTCGAGAAAGCAGTTGAGCAACAAAGAGGATTTGATTGTGAATTTCATATCCGAATGGAATTCAATGCTTGGAGATGAGATTTGTCAGAACCTAATCAAGTCAATGCCAAAAAGGGTTGAAAAGGTTATTCAAAATAAAGGAGGACCCATAGATTATTAAATATTTCGAACAATATTACCTATTATAAATAAATTATACCTCTATTATTCTTTATTTAAAGCTGTTTGGTTATGTTTCTATTGATTAATAATTGCAGGAAACAAGTGAGTCACTTTTTTTGCACAGAGATTTTCCCTAAATCTTATTTATATCCAAAATTATAATTATCAATAGAATACCTTAGGGTGAGTAAACTTTTTTACTAGGTGGTCAGGAAGGGGTCTTTATATTATTAAGATTAAAAATTAGTTTGACCACGAAAAGAATAGACGAAAACAATTTCAAGTAAAAAATCAGATAAGTCACTTTTATCGAACAGCAGTGTATGTTCTAAAGAAAATCCGCAAATAGGCGGGGGTCACACTGTAGTCCAATTGAGATGAGGACTTTGAGCTGGCGAGTTTTCCAAAAGTTTTGAATATTCTCATTCACAAGAAACCTTTCTGTTCCACGTGGTGTGTGCCAAGGGTCACTGTCATGTTGACAAACACATATTTTATTAGAGAGTGGAGCAGGAAGATATTATGTCGGCTTCTTGCCGTAACCAATCGGATCAGCCATAGTTGTGAAAATCTTTTTTTTTTTTTGACAGAGCATCCCATATCTAACCAATTTAATGTATAACAGGATTTTGAATTCAATTTTTTTCTTCTCCTAGACTGGTTGCCAACTACGACACGAGATTCCTGTTTTCCCTACTATTTAATACATAGCTGGATAGGCCAATAGCTTTACCCAAATGTTCTTCTAAAAATTCAGTGTACGGAACTCGTTCGAAACTCGAACTCGGCTCGCCAGTTTCTTGTTTCGAACCGCTAACCATGATATTACCTCCACGTACATCTATAACCCTGTCGCATATGACGTAGTATCTTCAAATTTTGATTTTTAAGGCACGGAAGCTCTACCCATTGGAAAGTCTGACGCAACATAATCTTACTAACAAGTGAGCTTGAACCAGATTAAATAAAAAAGAAAACAGCTCGAGTTTCTACCATTAATCAAGGAAAGACTTTTAGAATAAAAAAAATGTTATAAATGTAATTAAACAAAACGTATGAATGAAAATATATCTTTTTATGTGCCGTGTCCTTTCTGGACGTGGATGATCATGGCTCTTCACAACTTCCTATCCTTTTTAACTCAAAGCATTCTTTCTCCCTTACTATCTGTTTTAATCTAGAAAAGATTACTGAATGTTGAATAACCAAAACGGAGGTTGGAAATGAAATGGTAATCTTTATAACATCAACAAAATAC